ATATAGAAACATTTCCATAACCAGCAATTTGTTGCTGTTGAATTTTATTTTGAAATGAAGAAGAAAAAAAAGTAAAGAAAAACCAATGAAAATCAGCAGAAAAATAAAAAAAAAATAAAAAAAGGTCATTTTCTCAATTTTATGAGTTTCCCGTGGTATCCTTTTTTGGTTATTTGGTCCATAATAATATATATTTACAGGAGCAAAAAAATGCTACTATATTACTCCCATTCGCATTATTGTTGTTCACTAGAAAAATAAGATAAAAAAACTGTTGAACAATTTCATACCTTCTTTTTTTAATTTGTTGTTATTTTGATATGTCTTTGGTACCTGAGAAATTTTATTATAAATAAAAATCTTATTTAAGTCGTAGACGTTTCCCTTTTCAAAACATTTTGTACATGAAATAGAATATAAAAGAAGTTGATAAGATTATCCTTTGAATACACATAGTATGAGTGAAATTTTCTTCTATTCAGGATCCTTAAACATACAAAGGCACATCATAGCTGAAAAATGTATATTGATATTCTTAAGAATGAATTATTTCTTTAATATTTCTTTTTTTTGTTTTATTTTTACTTTAAGAAAATCGATGATCTGAAATTTTAGAGATAGTGTAACTGTTTTTCCTAAAATGCAGTTAAAAAATCTATTATCTATTTTCTGAGTCAGAATTTTATTAACTAGAGTGGTTAGTGTATCAGGCTGACGAGCATTTCAATAAAATAAGGCTAACATTGTTCACTTCTATTTTCTGAGGATTTTCTTAATATTCTTGACATCAATTTTAGATAAGTCATCCAACTACGCCTGGGTTCATCATTACGGTGAACCTAGGAAGAAAAAACTATTACAGCCGGCTTACAAAACCATTGGATCGGGCGAGGAAACAAAAATCATTGAAATAATCGATGAATAGAGTGATATGTTCTAAGTGTATTTTTTTCTCTTTATACGTTCTTCTTAACTGGTCTTCGAAATTATAAGACAAATTTATTGTGTACAGAATTGCAGTGTAAAATACTTGTGTTACTGAAAGTTATTATCTAAAAGTAAAGAAGTCTATATTATTTTGATCTTATTTTTGTATATAAACATATTTTTTAAGTATGGTTAAGATCCTCTAATTCATATCGTAGAATATCATTGACTATAAATTTTTAATCGTTTTGCGGATGTAATTAATTGGAAATGCCAGCTTCTGTGTTTTTATTCTTTTTCTTATTTTTCTTACAACTTTTTTTTATTTGTGTTGCTTACCATTTTTTTTACAAATTTTTTCATTTTCCTTCCATTTTTAGGATATCAAAGTAGGAAGGGCAAATATGGAGGCTATATAAAATTTAATATTTTTATTTTACCTTTACATACGAAATGGAAGGGGTGAATATAACATGTAGTACTTCAATTTAGTTAAAAATTTTGATATATTTGTGGTTTAATTTAGCTGATGTTGGTAGTAGGCACTGTTAAAAATTTTGATATGGTTGTTTGTTCCCGCTTGTAAATTTTATGTTATTCTTGTTGTGTTTATACTGTTAGTGATGTTGATTGTGATGTTTGTGAGGATGATGGTGATGATGCAAGTGATGAAGATGACGAAAATCTTTATAGGTTAAAATTTTCATCTATTTTGTTGTTTTGTTAGTTAAATGTGTCCTTTTTGATATAATAATCAAAAATTCAAGAATATCCTTAGGAATGGTTTTGTCTTTTAAGATGTCCTAAGGAGAAAAACAAAAATGAAATTGTTGATGATAATGTTTTATTTTAAGGTAAAATAAAATAGAACAAAACAAAGTTAAAAAAAAATTACTAAAGGACATAATCTTGATTGAAGAGAAAAAACTTTTTTTAGGTATTTAAAGGATAAAAAAAGGTGAATAAAATGAATTAAAGGTACATTTTTACTTAGCTCGTCATACATAGCTGGAAAGGGGTTTTTTTTTTACTTTTGTGTTTCTTTATAAAAAGAAGTAGAACTAAATTGTTGGTTGAAATGGTGGAGGACGTTGTTGTTAATGAAAAAACACATACAAGTAATAAAATGTTGACTCGAACATTAATAGTCATTCCTATTCAAAATTTTATATTATCATGCAAAATTTAACCAGCACATCTTTACAAGAGTTACTAAAATTTCAATTCTTCAGTTACTAAAATTATATAATGTTTCCTAACCAAACTGATCTTGTCTTAAAGTGAAGTTCTTGCAATTACACTGCTTAAATTTATCTTGATTTATAGTGTAAAGAAGCGATTTCCAACTATGTGATGTCACAGTACTATGAAGTCTTCACAGTACTATATAATACTTGCAATGCGTATAGAATTCTGTTATTTAATAAAATTTAATTTAATAGCATTGAAATTGAAATTTGTTTTCTATTTGGAAAGTAGCACTGGAACAGAATGTTACTGTCGTTTGTCACTAGTTATTCGGAAATTACAAGGAAATCGTAAATTAAAATTTAATGTAAATTTTTCGTAATGAAAATTTTATAATAATTTTTCTATTAGTAATTGAAATATTCATGTACAAATCTACATTAATTCAAATCGTATTCATATCTTCTAAAATTCTAGCATAAAAAAATAATTTTTTGATTTTGAATAGTACAAGTTTTTATTCCATTCTCTGTGTGTAGTATATACATAGACAAATTTTGTAATATTTTTCAATGTTTTAAGTTCGAAAATCTTTAAGAAAAAAATTTTTTTTTTCATTTCTTAATTTCCTTTCATTTTTTTTTTCATTTTATTTCATTCACTTTGTATTCCTTAACATTTTAAGGTTATCTTTTTATCTTAAGGATTCTAAATGTGTTTTATATATACATTATGTAACCTTTTCATTAACAAAAATTGAGTGCGTGATTTGGTTTCGTAACAAAAAAAAAGGGAGAAAAGCAACCAAATCAAATTTTAAAATGTACACGAAAGAAAATTGTTATTTTTTTTAGATTTTCAATAGCAAAATGGGAAAATATTCTTAAAAATTCTTAAATAATGAAAAAAATTTCTTAAAAGAAAAAATTTTTAGGTTGACTATCTATCCCTTTAATAAAGCTTTGGAATATACAATTTTGGCAGAAGAAGAGAAGCGATACTTTACGGTAATGAAAATTTGAAATGAACATAAATTAAAAATAAAGAAACCGAAGAAGAATTTGAAGAGAATTTTGGTGTTCGTATTTTTTCTTTCGCATCGGAATATTTTATGAGTTTTAATTAAAAATTAAAAGAAAAAGAAAAAGAAGTTTCGAAAAACAAAAAATTTTTTTTCGAGATTCAAAATGAATTTTTTTTTATAATAACGAATTGAAATGAGAAGAAAAAAATTCAAATAATTTTTTTTTAATTTAATTGAACTTTGCTTTTATTACAGAATTTTGATTAGAAGACTTTGGAATTTTAATGCTTTCAGAAGAGAATTTATACTTTGTTATAATTACGACCTCATTTTGAAATTATTTTCCATTAAACCTACTATCGCTCTTCAAAAACCAATAAAATAGAAATGTTGTTTAGTATAAAAATGTTTAAACAAATTTTCTATTTTCATTCCCTTGTATATTGTTGTGATTTTTGAAATTTCATCGCTGTTTCCATATAATTTAAAAAATTAACTTTTTCGCATTGGGCTGATGATTTGGGAATAATTATTTGAATTAAAAAAATTACAACATAGTCTTATGACGCGCATTTTGAATACTTTTAATAAGTTTTGACATAAAAACTTCTACATCGTAAGTTAGTTTTCACCAAATTAAATTTAATATATTACTCCCATATATATGCGATCTTTTTCAGAAATTTCAGAAGTTCATAATTAAAACTTAAAAATCAAAAACTTATAAAAGTACATATGATATACTATTAAATAGTATTATATAAATGTTTGGTTGCTTGACGTAGCAGGTGCAGCAGATCTACCGCACCCCAATTAGTAGAAATGTGTCGTTTTGCTACCACTACCGTGATTACTGGGTCGTCATTGAACGTACTATTATAGGTGGCTTATCTAAGCCACCCGGTTCTCTTCAGGAATCTATCTAAACCCCCGATGCTAATTTTCGGTATCTCCCATGATCTGCCTGACGTGAAGCAGACATTAAGAGGCCAGCTTCGCCCAGAGCGGGACGCTCGCAGAAATAGTGGAAAATGTTCTCCGTCTTGTCCTTTTCCCGATAGCTGCGAAGCGTTTTGTCGAAGGGTCGCATGCTCCCCCAACGGCTAGTGTGCTGTGCAGACTGTCGTCAAGAAAGGAATGTCCCCCAAGACATAAAGTATTCCACCATCCGAACAACCTCATGTAATGCAGTGTCGGTGGACCTGCGCATCTGATAAGCGTGCTGTGATTCTGAGAGCTTAGCAGACCAAGATTTCCCTCACCAAAGTTTAATATGACAGCACGGTTATCTGAATTCAAATCAAGGCCATCTTCCAAATTCAAAAATTTTGATGAAATTATTTTGGAAAAATATAAAAGTCAAAAATGATTGGCCAGTTATTTGGATGGCCAATTGAATGTTGAGGTCATTTTAGAACCCCAATTCACATGTTTGGCATTATAGTGACCTCCTAGTAAGAATCGATTTCCATCCGTATATAGAATCTTGGTTGTTGAAGTTTTGCTTGGTAGACTCAATCTTAACCATACGAGTACAAGTTGATCGTTAATGTAACGATCACGTTGTAATCATACGTTGACCATTCGTCTCTATTTGGGATTCTTCATTATGTTTTATGGTATCCTTAACTAAAATAGCGTTATCTCACAATGAATAGTTACTAAGATGAGTTGCCCTATAACAGTTGTAATCTAACACATCTAAATCATTCCCTAAGTGTCTTTCCGATTTAATTTCAAGGAAATCGTAGAATTAAGAAACAAAAAATAATAAAGTTAATTTATAAATTGAAAAGAAAAAATAATAATAATTAAATTTTCAATTAAATAAAATTTATTTATTTGTTGTTTTTCGTTACAGAGTATGAAATATCCTTGGGCTGGTTTTCCGGTCGGTAAGTAGCTAAATTAAAGAAAAATTCATATGTTTTCATATATTGTTTCTTTTCTTATATTTTACAATAAAATTTACAAGATTTAATATTTATAGAATATTTATTCAATAATTTTAATCCTTTTTTGTTGACTTTATTGTATTTGAATTTGACATTTCTACTTTTCTGATTTTATTGTATTTGAATTTGACATTTCTACTTTTCTCTCTTTGACATTTATTTTAATTGATTATTAGTTAATTACAAGCAAACATTTGTTGTATGTATAATCGATTAGCATTTTTCTATTCGAATATTGAATATAATTTTCTTATTTATAAACAGTTTAAAAAAAAGAGAATAGTGAAAGAGATTGAAAGTGGTAAGAGAGTAAAAATAAAATATAAGAGAATAGAAGTAAAAAAATGTGGGGGTAGATGGAAAATATTTTTTATTTTATTTATTTTGTTCGTTTATTTCTTATTTTGCCTTTGTATTTTTGATATTTATTTTTTTTTATATATATAAATAATTCAACTGTCACTGATGATTTATTAAATTATTCATGCATGTATATTTAACGTACACGTTTTTATTTTTATCTATGTATAAAATATTGCGTGGTGGAAGGATTTTCAATATTGTACTTCAATATAAATAGAATTATATAAATAAATGTTATGTTTATACACGTTATATAATCTTATAAGCAATATATACGAAAATATAGAATTGAGTTTTTTTTATATTTTTATGTAAATAATGTAAATGTATGCATATCGATTACGTATATTTGTATACATCAAGTATTTTCATTTGGGAATAACAATATAAAAATTGTTAAACGGAATTACCAATCGATTCAATTTTTCGTCAAACATATACATACATACTTGTATTAATTTGGGTTATGTATATACCATTATATAATAAGCAAATATCGTATAGGAGAGAAAAGAAGAATATTATATAAGTAAATTTTTTTAATGTTTTATTTAATTAAAATTCTTTTTTAAAAATTGACTTTTGAATAAAACTTGAAAATAATAATAGGTTTGAGGTTGATTTGAAATAACATATTTGTATGTATTACATATGCACATAACTTGTTATTTGTATTATATGGGACATATTTAACTTTTGCGTATGAGGCGTGTAGCATTGCAAAAATGAACTAAATTTCATATTTAAAATAATAAGATTGTTGTATAAAATAATTTAATTGATTTTTTAGAATTTGATTTGCATAAAATGTATTTAGTTTAAGTTTTTCTTTTTTAAATTACATTTAAATTCAGAATTTCAATTTTGTAATTTAGTTCATGTTTTAGAGTCCCTATTATATAGAAAATTTGCATTTTAATTTAGATCTGAAAATATTTTTTCATTCTGAACTGTCTTTTATTTAATATTATTTAAACATGATTTTTTATTTTATTTTTGTAAATGCTTTGAATTTTAATACTTGAAAACTGTACTCAATAGTTTTATTTTTAAATAGTTATTGGAGTAGATTGTAGATTGTAGATTCCAAGGCAACCGAGTGGGACAGGAGTAACCCCCCAAGCCACCGCAGCCATTTTTGACTTATTGTAGCCCCCCACTCTCCCGTCTATAATATCCCCGTCCCAATCACAAAGCCGGAGATATCCCTAAGGCAGTTGGACAACAGTTCCTGAACTTTATGTCCAAGACATTTGCGACCCATGTCCAAGACAATTGCGGCACCAAACAGCCAGTGCCGGACAGTCGCAGAGAATGTGCACGGCGGTCTCATCGCCACCCCCACAAAATCTACACAGGGGGGAACCCGACTTCCCCAGCCTATGCAGGTGGTACTTCACAAGTGCAGCAAGGCAGCTCCAGACCAGCTTGGATGTAACCTGAGCTGAACGGGGCGGACACCGTATACGCCCGAACCCACACCCGACTCCGTTTTGGACCCGTCCACATACCACACGCTCGAACCCGACCTAAGTACCGAACCACCCCTATCCCACGTCCATCGATCGGGAAACAGAACCCTGTACCTGTGGTCGAAGTTGTACCGCGGCAGACAGGTATCCGACATGGTTAAACTTAGAATCGGATCGCCCTCAATGAAGTCTCTGTGAGTTCTGTGAGCCAACTTTAGCCCTGCCCCGTCCTCGCCAGAGAGAAGTCGGTAAATCACTAACCGAGCCTCCTTCAATATATGGAGGTGCAGTGGCGGCAATCCGATCATCTGCCCCGGTCACTCCCAGGCAGGCCAGCCTCTGTAGGTTTTCCAGCTTGGCCCCCACACCCGCCTGCTGAGCCTTACGGCACCATACAATCGACGCATAGGTGACGATGGGCCTAGCAAGGGCCGTATATAGCCACAGTGCTATTCTGGGACTAATTCCCCAGGTCCCCCCGATGAAGGGTTACCCCCAGATACTTCACTTCCCTCGAGTAACTAATACGTTCACCACACAGAATTGGGCTCGTTAATCTGTCCCTGCTTCTGCGTGTGGTGAAGGCAACCAACGTGCTCTTGCTTGGATTTATATTTAACTCAACGCCTTTGCACCACCTTTCCACAACACGTAAATTTTGCTGTAGAAGAGCAGAAATAGTGCTCTCAAATTTTCCCCGCACGGCGAAGGCCACATCGTCGGCGTATCCCCAGACACGCGCCCCGGAGCCCCTGAGAGCAGCGATTAGATCATCCACTACAATGGACCACAGGAGGGGCGAAAGAACCCCACCCTGCGGAAATCCTTTTGCAGCGGAAATGAAGAGTATATCGTCAGCTATGGTGGACTTAATAATCCTATCCTGTAGCATCCGATTAACCCATCTGCTAGTCGTCGCATCAATCCCTCGTTTGTGCAACGAGTCACAGATGACATGATATGGGGTGTTGTCAAAAGCTCCCTCTATATCAAGGAAGCAGCCAACTGCCACCTCCCGCACTTCCAGTGAGTTTTCAAGGACCCCCACCAGACTCTGCAGAGCCAGTACAATAGACCTTCCCGACTGATAGGCGTACTGAGATTCATGCAAGGGATTGCTTCCCAGTGCATCGTCCCGTATAAATCTATCAATCACTTTTTCCATTGCTTTCAATAGAAAAGAAGTAAGGCTTTGACGGAAAGACCTTGTATGGTTGCTTGGTCGCTTACCCACCTTCTGAATATACGTCACTTTAGCCACCCTCCATGCCTGAGGGATGTAACCCCACGCATAGCTGGCACGAAAGATTTCCAACAGTGCTCTAGCGATATGTTGGAAACCCCTCTGCAAAAACGCAGGATATATCCCGTCATCACCTGGAGATTTGAAGGGCCTGAAAGAGAAAACAGCCCTTCTAATCCTGCCCATCGTGAAGACTAGACGGGATCGTTTCCAGTCATCCCTCTTGGGCCAGGATGCCCTCGGTTCGATGACCGCATTTGAGTGATTCCGAAGAATCTCCGAGTCAGGAAAGTGCGTTGAGGTAATAAGCTCCAACGTCTGCTTTCCGTTCTCAGTCATGAAGCCATCAGGAAGTTCCATTAGGCCCAACCCGCTAGCATACTTTTTGGAAAGCACCCTGTGAAGACGCGCACTGCTGGAGAGTTCATCAATGCCCTTGCAGAACGCCATCCACGAGATTCTCTTCGCTTTCCTAATTTCTTTATTGTATTTTGTGAGTGAGTCCTTATACTCTTCCCACGAACCCGACGCCTTGGCCTTATTGAATAGCTTTCTGGTCTTTAGTCTAAGCCTTGAAAGCTCTTGATTCCACCACGGGCACTTCCTATTGCTCCGCCTCGGCTTAGCGCGGCAGCTCCCGTGATAGGCATTAGTAATAGCCGCCGTCAGGGCCTCGCTGGCCAGTTCGATATCCATCACCGTTCTGACAGAAGCAGGAACGGATCCAATCCCATCCATGAGGAGCGTTTCGGATTGACTCCAAGCTGTGGATTGGGGCACCCGGTAAATTTCTTCTGCCAGGCCCCCGGAGACAATGATATCAAACCTAATCTGTCTATGATCGGACATGGATGTCTCATTTGAGACATGCCATCCACCAACCCTACTGCCGATAAATTCAGTGCAAAGGGTGATGTCAAGGACCTCTTCCCTAATTGCATTTATGAATGTCGGCCTATTGCCCTCATTCATAATCATTAATTTATTGCTATATATAAATTCAAGTAGGCACTCACCTCTTTTGTTTATATTGCTGCTTCCCCAGACGGTGTGGGGGGCATTGGCATCACTTCCTATTACAAGTTGGAAGTTCCTCCTTCCACAAAAGTCCACTAGATCCTTCATTTGCTCGTCCGGGTGGGCCATATCATTTCCTCCGGATCTTGTCTATGGGCATTGGCCCTTTAGACAAAGGCTTTATATGAGCCTTACCTCCCATTGCCGTCTTTTTACACATCTTGGTGGGCGCCTGCCCTGCCACAGCCTCTTTTGCGTCCCAGGTGCCACGCTAGCCCCTCCAACAGCAAATACCGAATCAGTTTCGGGCTTCCCAATGGGCTTGAGCCCTTTTGGTCCCCCCGGGACGCTTGTATTTGGCGTGCTGGTCGATGGTCCTTCCGTTTCCCTTGCCGCCATTTTTGGAGCGACTTCAGACTTTTCAATGAGTTTTGGCTCTTTTGGTTGGCCTGAAGTGCTCGTCGTTGTCGCGATGGGCACTGGTTTTTTATTTTGTCCTGCCCTGCCGCCAGCATCTTGAGAGGATTTTCTTCCTTTAACCCGAACGGTAACACGGAAGAAATTCAGGAAAAGTCGGAACTCCGCTTTCCATAGATCTTCCAATCCGGAATCATCCACGGAAAAGGTGATTTAGCAGCCCCCGTCCTTTTCCTTATCCATCCTCAGCACCCTCCAGGAACTCATCTTGAGGCTGGGATTTTGCTTCCTTATCCTACTTAGAAATTTGTCCCTGGAGAGACTGACGGTTGTTTCGTCCTTTGGCACGTAAGTGACGCATACATGCTGTTTGGGCATGTCGTCGCCATCCAGCACCACGACGTTGCAACCGTCCCAAGGCTTTATCT